GTTGCAAAGTTAAATTGAAAAATTTTGTTGTACAATTTTTTTCCGAAATCTCGATGTCTAGGGTGAAAACTCAACACGGAATCACACAATCGCACCTGCAGTGACGATAGTGACTCTTTTAAAGACTACCTTCGGTGGGATGTTCAGTAGAAGATAGTAAAAAAGTGTACGCGACTTTTCTATGACTTTTAGTTGCAAATTTCCGAGGTAATTCGAAAAATAAAAGTAAAAAATGTAACATGAAGATTAGTTTATTTTTAGATTTCTTATAGATAATATAGTACAAGGTGGAAATGAAATTAAAATAGCTACTTTTTAAAACCTCCATTTTACCGTAGGGACGGTAAAATAGTAACGTTGATTTTTTTTTAGTAGCTTCCGGTAAACAAAAGTCACTATTCACTACGACCCGACTATAACAATTTCGAACTTTTGCTAATAAAACTAATGGTATGAAATGATACAGTCATCTACCGTTAATTCGAAAATAGTAGCTAATAACGAAAAAACCAAAGGATACTAAACTATTTATGAAAAACAAAAAATAAAAGCATGTTATGAACTGACACGGTGAACGTAAAATATCTACAATATTAATTTTAATACGGTCATCATTGTAAATCTCGTTTGTAACTCTCGAGAGAAATTTAATTTTGATTATAGTAATCTCAACTCACACTCAAACAAATTGACACTACTTAAAAATGTTAAGGAATCATATCTTTCAAAAAAAAAAAAAAAAAAAAAAAAAAAAAAAAAAAAAAAAAAAAAAACAATTATATGACTCTAAAATTTCGATGGTAAGTTTCAAATTCGAGGAACTAAAGTTATTTTTTATATTCAATTAATATACAGGTCGCCAGAATGTATGGAAACGGTTAAATATCTCGAAAACTAATTGGTACAAATCAACTGAAATTAGATATAGGGGTACAAGAAGTTGTGCTCTCATTATTTGTTAATAAAAAATTTTTTTGCTTCATTTGTTTTCGAGATGCAAGGCCAACTTGATTTTTTTTATAGCACCATATAATTATGCATTTTTGAATAGAACTTTTTTTCTGAATTCATTATTGATATAGCACAATCATACTTTCTTTTTGATTGAAATGGCAAAATAAATTATTTTAAATAAGAATAAATAACAAACGAAAAATGACATAGTTACCTGTGAAAATAATTTTAATTTCACATGTAAGGTGTTACTTGCAAAAATGGTACATCTAAGTGAAACTGAGCGCACAGTATTATTAATGATTTTCGGTTACGGTGATAAAAGAGGAAGTTTTGCTCAAGTTTGTAACACTTTTCAATGAAATTCATCCTGAGCGAGAACCCATTTCTAAGTCGACGGTTTCAAAAACCCTATGAAGATTTAATGAAGCTGGAAGTGTTAAAGAACGTCCAAAACCTGGCAGGCCAAAAACTGCTACAATGGTGAAAATACCTTTAGTGTCCTCTTAGACGCAACAGAAAATGCCAAAACGTCAGTGTAACAATTAGCGCTGAATCACAATGTTGGTAGAAAATCAGTTCAAACAATAATGAAAAACGTTTCAAAATCCATTTGATACAAGAGCTAAACGATGATGATTTTGATCGTAGAGTTGAATTTACCGAAATTATTATAAACAGAATACAACAAAGCAGAAATTTTATCAACAGGATTTTGTTTTCTAACGAATCTACGTTTTGTTTAAATGGTCATGTGAACAGACACAGCTGCAGATACTGGTCTAACACAAATCCATACTGGATGGAGCAAATCCACACAGTGTCCAGAAAAACTGAATGTTTGGTGCTGTATTACTGGTTACCATGTAATTGGTCTCTTTTTTATTAATGGGAATTTAAATTCTGAGGAATACTTACGACTGTTGCAGGAACGTATAGTGCCTAGACTGAGAGAATTGTTTCCCAAATACCAAAATCCGGAGTTGCCAGAGGAAACTATTTGGTTTCAACAAGACAGTGCTCCAGGCCCCATTTTGGACCTCAAGTGCGACAGCACTTTCTTGAAACTCCCTGGCAGATGGATAGGCCGAAGCGGTACTATTGAGTGGCCTGGCAGGTCACCGGATTTGACACCGCTTGACTTTTTTTTTTGGAGGCTATTTGAAGAATCGCGTTTATATCAATAGACCGATTCACATTGAAGACTTACAGGAACGCATAGGTAGCGAAATTGCTAACATTCGTCCAGGAATTCTCATTAACGCACTACAAAATTTTATTCAGCGTCTTTTTTACTGCCAGGAAGTAAATGCATTTTGAGCATTTTTTGTAGAATATAGAAATTTAATTTTGATTTCGGTTGTTATTGTTTAATAATTTATTTTGCCATTTTAATCAGAAAGAAAGTATGATTGTGCTATATTCATGAATTCAGAAAAAAAGCTCAATTTAAGAATGCATGAATTATGTGGTAGTGCCATTTAAAAAAATCAAGTTCGCCTTGCATCCCGAAAACCAATGAAACAAAAAAAAAATGTTTTCACGAACAAAACTCCTAATTTCAGTTGATTTGTACAATTGGTTCTCAAGAGATTTGACCGTTTCCATACATTCTAGCGACCCTGTATTTTTGTGTTTAATAAAAAATCCTTAGTGAAAAGGCAAATTTTGAGAATTTACACCTACAATATCAAAATGCGTCATCGATCAGTTCTGCAAAAATACAAGCCGCACTTAACATTTATGATTTTGTTTTGCACCAAGTCTATTCATTTTCATTCACCTAAAAGACTTAAGACTCAAGATCGCAGTAAATTTGCAAGGAAAATTCCATTTAGTGTTGTAATTTTTTTTATTAAAGTAAACCTAATTTTGATGAAATGGCCTCAATTTCTTTAAATAAAATGTTACTCAAGTTTTGCCTCTTTTTAACAAATATTTATTTTATTTAACTACTTTAAATTTTACACTTCTTCTAAAAAATTAACTAAAATATTGGGCTGTCATTTAAAAAACCTCACCACCGTCACAACTCTGGTATTAAGTCGCAAGAAAATTTCAAATTTGCTCTTAAAGTGTAGTTCATAAAAAGTCAATTTATCTGGCTTAATATTTTCATTCATTTTTACGGTCACGTATAATAAACCACTTGGAAAACCTTTTAACCACTACGAGGAAAAAAAATAGCATCATTGATCATTCTTGTGGTCGATAATGATAATGAATGAAGAAGGACCGGTCGAGGTACCGAATTTTAGCCTTACTGCAAATACTGTAAATACTTAATATATACCTACACTACCGCTCATTAATATGCGCAACCTTATTGTTTTGCAAAACTAAATGAAATCCTTTTATAGATTGATGCTGTTCATTCTGTTAATGATATTAATTAAAATTGTCTTAATTAACTAAACTTTAGTGTAGGTTTTTTACCACCTTTTAACAAAATCAAATTATCTAGGCGCTGCTGTGTTATGATTTCTCACAAGCCACTATCCGGCCAGTAGAAGTCATAAAATGTATTCATCAGTCCTTAAACTATTACTGGAATCTAAATTTAGCGGATTTTACACTTGGGTGGAACTTGTAGGTCCTAAAGAAGTAAAAAATATCTTTAAAACAGAGTCAAATATATTTTTCATACATAATTCCTACTACAAAAAATTCGATGTCAATAGCAATAGTTAAATGGCGACTATTCCAAAGTAGTATTCACCCCCTAAGCCGATAAAAGATGAATATTTAAATGAGTGAATCTGCATGAAAATGAAACCCAAGTAAAGCGTGCTCAAATTAATGAGGGGTAGTGTAACAATAATAATTGTTTAATACAAACATCAGACCACTACAAGTGCAAATAAAAAGAAAATAGTAAAAGCGTGGGCAACATAATCTACAGTAACAGGTTAAGAGTGGCATTCATTGAAAAAAATAAAGAGATAATGTATGAATTTTTATTAATAGAAACTAACACAAACCTGGACAAAATAAGCCATTAACAATATATAAATAGAGCCAACTTCGATCACAACGTGTCACAAAATCAATGTAATATTGCAATCATGTAAAATTTTGTGTACGCGTATCAAAAAATAATAACATTTTCAATCGCGAGATTTAATTAGCCATTGCGCCCTGATTACATAATAGTGTACTGCAGTGTTTGATATTTCATGCACGACGACAATACGATTTCAATTTGCATTCCAGTCTAATTTGTGTACACGTTAGTGTAAAACACCACCTTAACGTCGGTATCTCTAGAGAAAGGTTAGCCTTCAGGTGAAACGCGATCATAATCGAAATCGTCTCTAGGTCGGAAAAACTAATGATGTAATTGCCAGGATGACTATTTTAGTCATACCGAAGTAAAAAAAGTGTCGCCACAAGAACTAAAAGAAACAGCGACATTTAACCGCAGGCCAATTCTTTGATCGTCATCTAACAAAATGTGTAGCGGCGGCGCGCAACTTATAAAAATAAACACAACACGAAATTACATTGCAATCTGCTTATTAAACACCAGTAAAAAATTACAATGGACTAATAAAATTGCGCTGATAATAAAAACGATGTTAGCATATAGAGCGGCTTTATTGATAAGAATCAATGATGCGTAGGTGTCGTAAATCGAGGTGTTTTTCGGCACCAAAATGAAAATAATTCGAAGGGAGATGAATGAAAACGGCATCGGTATTAGTGCGAGAGTCTTTAATTAGTACTTTCAAAGACAACCACCTGTCATACCGTACAGGGCAGAGCCTCACTATATTGATTTTCTTACTGGCAATGCAGATATTCAAACAGCGCCGAAAATTTGACGGAAAATCGTCGTTTCGTGGTGAAAATTCGGCAAGGAGCGGAACGCGCGTTGCGACGCGTTTACAAAATCGCGTTTATTTTCGTGTGTGGGGTTTAGAAATGATTTTTTTTAGCTGGAACCGTCCATTAACGTTGTCACTCCCGAATTGCCGCGCAGCATCGAAGTTGGCCGTTTCCGCAGCGAAATTCACACATACGGACATCAAAATGCTCGTACTTACTTTCCGAGTTCCTCTTTTAGATCGTAGTTGTCGCTGAAACGCGTACAGGCAATTGGCACGGCCATAGCTCACCACCGCAGTGCCTAAAACGTACTGCTATATGTCGCTCTGCCGACTAGTAAACCGACTGACACACGAGAAAACGGGATTTTTCGCGCAGCCAACCGAAATTATGCCACACAAAATACACCACCAGACGCTCGGTCAGGGACGCACAGCGTCCAGACTTGCTCGATACACTTCGGACGCGGTTCAGTATTATATGGGCTTTTTGCCGACCGACTGCAAACCACCGACCGACGATTTTTCCGAGGGCTCGTCTACTTAATTGATGGCAATCTGCGATCCGGTCGTGCTCTTTCGCGGACGCCGCACGACCTCCAATCCCCACTAGAATCCGAAACTGCTGTTAAGGCGCTCCTCGGGGATATAACCTAAAAGATCAATATTGTGGCGCGTCTACACTACAGACAGATTCGGAACCGACACTCGACAACGGGGGAATAACCTTGCGACTTGTCGTGTAATACTATTAACGCCGGCGCTTCGACATTTCTTACACAACAAACTGAACACACACGATTGCCTTCAGCTTGCTGTTCATGCCAAGGTCTCGACGTTTTGCGTTTACATCTTTTTTTATCTACCGCTGCTGTATCATTTCCTCCTTATGTTTTTATATCTACGACTTTTTTTCTCAGCTAAGATGGTTTATTCAAAGAAATTGTTCTTTTTAGAACAGAAATTTTGTGGTAAAAATGCGACGACGAAGTGAAATTTTAAAAATAGATTTTTAACAACCCATGTCTCTGGCAGTTTCAAAAATATTTACTGCCCTAGAGACTTTCAAATTTCAAAACAAATTTTCAACTTGTTATTTGGCGCCATCTTTTGGTTCATCGCCTGTTTAAAGAGAGTGAGCTGTAGCATATTTATTAACTACAACCTGGATATTCTAGTGTACCCATATAGTATCAAAATAAGGAACAACAAACAAAGGAATACATTTTATTGGTGGATCGTTTTCCCAAGCTTATTTACATTCAAAATTTTAATCCAGTGCGGTGCACTGTCAGCTTCACTTTGTTAGATATTCGCCGAATTTTACTTAAAAAGTTGACCGACTGCATTGTAAAGGATTATCAAAACCGATCTGAGAACGGAAAACCCTTTAAATCCATTCCTCAGGGTTCATTTGCACGTTCTCTGTGGATGTAGAAAATGAACTCCTGGGTACTACCTATACCTCCAAAACAAGGGCGAGTATGTAGGGACCATTTTGCCAGATCAGTGGGAAATTTTTTGGCAAGAAACTGAACATTCCTGCGGTCTCATCTACACTCGACCGCAAAATTAACCGGACATTCATATTTTTACTTATCAACGTTTTAAAATGCTCTGCAAATTAATTTACATCAGTATTTGTACTAGTGTTGTAAATTAACGTGCTTATTTCATTTAAGGTTAATTGTCATGTTAATTATCCGCTAATTTATCAATTATTAATTTATTAATATCTCTAAAAGAGAATTACTGTTTTAAATCACAACTGAATAGTACATAGATTTTTTTTTCAATTAAAATGGAATACTTATGTTCAACATTTATTAAACAATAAACAAAAAATAAAGTAACATTCTTTGATAATAAAATAAATTTTCAAAAAAAAACAAATTGAATTAAAAATCACTTCCACTGCCATCATTCTTATATTCGCTGTCGTTACTTTCTTCGTTTTCTTCTCCTTCTTCACTTTCTATTTGGTCCCCATCCTCATCTTCACTTTTAATTTGTAACACAATTTCTTCATCGTCAATCTATTCATTCTGTTCTTATTTAATCCAACTGTTGTAGGGTAATTAATTATAAATGTTTCTGCTTTCTATTCATCTTCTTCACTCGAGTTAAATTTGTCTTTTACTCTCGGGTTAAGAATATGTGCTAGCAGTTGTACTTAGTGGAACATAAATTGTTTTCTACTGCTGAGATATTCTAACAATTGAAATTGTTCAAAAACGTCAATGTAAATTGATTCTAAATAGCTATGCATACATACTTAGGTATATGTATGATAATGTTGAAGCAGCATCACCTTCAATAGAGTTAATTATAGATTATGGTCCCTTTAACAAATTTAAAAACCCATCTAGATTTTCCGAAAACCTTTAGTAAAATATCTAAATGAGATAAGATTTTGCTTGAAATCTGAAGATACAGCCAATGTTTGAAGACATTCTTTATTCTGAAGTAAACTTTGTATAGATGCTACATTTTGTTTCAACAGGCTTCTGTAATGCACTCGTTTTACCAAGCTTTTCTTTATGTATTATTTTTAAAGCTTCTCTTACAACGCTTTTGTGTGTAAAATATTTCATTAGTTGAGTGGCTTTCTTAACAATTTTATGCATGGTCGGCAACTTCAATATATCTCGTATCAACAAATTCAGACCATGTGCCTGGCATCCATATGTAATTAAGTTGGGGTATTTCTGTTTTAATAACTGCCACGCAAGTTGCATGTTTGCCGCATTATCTGTTATTACCGCGCCAACTTTTTCTGGACCGACTTTTTCGATTACATCACTTATTAATACAGTAAAAATGTATTGACCCGTATGTTCTGGTGTCAAAATAAAATTTATTAAAGATGTCCCATTGATGTCTGTCCAGCCATCATCATACAGTTGTCGCAGTGCTTATTTTGTTCTCTACTTGTTGTTTAATTGCATCATATTCCTCATCTAAAAGTTCATTCAATAATGAGTACCTTGAGGGCAGTTTATATAATGGTCGAATTTTTTGGAAAAATTCTTGCCACCACTTGTTTTCAAGTTATGACTTGTATATACTGCTCTGACTAACGTTGCAACTAAAATATGATTTTCTGTTGGAGACATGTTATCCAAGAACACTCGATGAAACTGGTTAAAGGTTTTGATTCTTCATACTTAAAGAATTACCAAACAATTTCAAATGATGCAATTATAAGTTAATGATACTTACTAAATTTGAATGAGATGTAGATGAAGACAAACGTGAATCTTCAGATATAGTAGATAATGATATTATATCAGCACTGATATCCTGATGTACTGTACTAGTAAATAAAGTTTCATATTCACGTATAGGTTTTGGTTTTATGTTGGATTTCGATTATTGCTCTTTTATAAATTCTAGTGCCCGGGGACAATTAATTGTATGAGTCTGCATTCGAGCAGCATTCGTTGTGAATTTCTTTCCACAAAACTTGCATTTCCCTCCTTTATTTGCCCATTTGTACATTACTATAATACTTCCAAATTTCACTCCGTTACCTTATCATCGCTGATATGGAGAGAAAAAGCGAAATGTACTTTAGTGGGTATCCGGTAATTGTACGTCTTACCACCACCGTCTTGTTTGTCACGGAATAGGTATTTTTTAACTTTTTAATATAAGGGCACGCAGAAAAATCGGTACGGCGGGACACAAACATGTTAACTCATAGACAAACAAAGAGTAAATTCCACTCAAAAAACAGTCATACCAACCGTCCAAATCGTGTTAAGTATCAAAATCTCACCGTCAGAATTAGCACATTTGTGAATTATCCATTGATTATTATCAATGATTATTATGGGTTTTTTCGCAAATTTAGTTAACCGTGAATTAGCGTTAATATCAGTAATTTTCATTTCGTAAATTATCCGACTCACAACACTAATTTGTACACATATAAAATAAAATAGGGGAGTATGTAATAAAATTTTTAGGCGGTATCACATCAGAAGACCATATTTTGTTTAGCAATTTTTTGAAAAATAAAATTAACAGACGCGATTTATTAAAGAAAAAACATATATGACTTTCAATGAAGCTATTGCTTTTCACAATGATGGGCGGAGCCTGCATGATATCGCTAATAGCCTAGGTATACCTCGTAGTGCAGTGTGGAATGCTATATAAAGGTTCCGAGCAACTGGTTCCTGCTCCAGATTACCTGGACAAGGCAGACCACTATCAACAAACCCTGCTGAAGATCGGTTTCTTCAATGCAATTCTCCGAGAACGGACACTCACTGAGCTCTGAGTAAAAGATTTGCAGATGTTCATGCTAGGGTTGTTTCCTCGGATATTATTAAGAAGGTTAAGGAAACACAGTTTGATATCCGATCCACCTGCTACTGGACCTCTTTTGCCTGCAGCACACCGCAGAAAGCGATTGAGATTTGCGGGAATTAGTATTCAAGCTTTAAGGTGGCCACCCAGAAATCCAGATCTAAATCCAATAGAGCATGAAAAAAATTCGTTTTTATGTCGTTAGGAGAGTCAAATTTTTATTTTCTATACAACGGGATCTGCATAATGGTATATAGATTAATATTGAATTGAATTTTTTATAGAATTGACTATCGGCTGTTACATTTTTTCAAAAAAGTAGTATCCGATTCATTTTGCGGCCGAGTATAACTTTCATCCTACGGATCTTGCAAATCTACCTACCTAAATCTGCTACTGTTGCAGTAAAAATCAGTGCAAAATCAAAGCAGGATTATTTACAGGAAAAAAATAAAATGCTTATTAGAAAACAACTTCGAAGTTTAAGAATAAGTTTTAAAAAATGAAGTGGACAGTTATATACCTATGTATAAGTTATTAAGTATACAAAAACTGCTTTTGAAAAACTAAAACAAAATCTGAAAGATCTTTTTACCAAGGATCGAATTGAATTGTTAAAAGCAAAAAAGTTTTCAAAATGTTCTGATGAAATTGTAAGCAATTCCCTTCGTGTCTACAATCTATCTCGAAAATAGGGATTGCCATTTCTGCCCATCCGAAACTTAAACTTTCATTTACAAAATTTGCAGTTCAAAAGCGGATTGCTAGATGAAGTAATTGATTTTATGAAAATAAGACTAAAACATTCAATCAAGATTTCGGAAAAGATTGTACGGGGCTGGATTGGATTATTGCATCCAAAGTGAAACATATACCTATCATGGATTGTAGCGTTAATTTACCCAAGCATAAAGGAATTGCTACCAAAGCTTTAGTAATTATTATGTTGGGCGTTATTACCAGTAGGTGGAAGCAAGTAGCAGCATACACTAGTGTCCCTGTAGAGAGAGTTCCGCAACTGCTTTACTCACTACCTTGGACTTAAAATGGCGGCTCAGCATCAGCTGGAAGAAAGCTAGTTTTGCTTGTTGTTTTGATTGTTGTTTTTTGGGCAAAAACAGGGCGCGAATGTGTGTATAGTGCGTGTATATATAATATGTATATAATATTATTTACTTGGAAAACATGGGAATAAGTTTATATATAAAAAAATTCTTACCAATAGTGCCAGTATTACAAGTAGTAAGAGTATTACGATGCGTATTTTGGCAAACAAAATGCAATAAGACATTTCAGTATTTCTGCGTTTCATTGACCTTTCGTTCGTATACCTAAATTCTTGTTATATCATTAAGATCCAAATTAAAACAGTATTATAACCTGGATGATGTGAATAAAATTGGGAAA